TGCCGCACTCTCCCAAGTGCGCCACGGGGTTGGCCCAGGGGTTAAGTTTCTAATACATGGACCTTGGAGGACACAATTCAATCCATAGCAAATGGGTTGGTGGTTTAATGGGTGGTCATTGGCATGGTTCTTGTGGCTTTAAAAGGAGAGTAAGTGAGAAGGTTAGCTCTCTTGCTCAGCTGTTCTCACCGTGTGAAACCTTGCATCACTTGGGATTATGTAGAGAGTTTCCACCCAGAAGAAAGTCCTCATCAGATGCATCCCCTGGACAGTGGACTTCCCAGCCTCTAAGATTGTAAGAAATAAGTTTCATTTCTTTGTAAATACCCAGTTTCAGGTATTCTGTTGTAAGCAACAGAAAATTGACTAATACAGAGGCCAGAGAGATAGAGAATTTGAGAAAACACAAAACAACGTTCATGTTCAGAACCAGGGCTCCTGACTTTTCTCTTTTTGGGATGGGGGTAGGGAGTAGCTTAAACAACAGAAATTTATTTTCTCACCACTCTGGAGGCTGGAAGTCCAAAATCCAGGTGCCTAAAGGGTTGATTCCCCTGAGGCTTCTCTCCTTGGCTTGCAGATGGCCACCCTCTTGCTATCTCTTGATGATCGTCCCTCCATGCACAAACTCCAACCTTTCTGTAGTAAAATGTTTTGCAGCATTTCCCATGGCTCGTGCCCTAACCTCCAGCCAAGGCTCCCCAGGTCCAGAAAGGGGTTAGGTCTATCTCCGAGTCTTTGGTGTGATCAGACCTCATAGACCCTCATTGGTGACTAGTGCTCTCAGTGGGGTGGGGAGAGTCACCAGGTCTAAAACCACCAGATGCCAGACCTGAGTGCCTCAACTTCTGATAGCCTTAACTCCCAAACTGAGGGTCTCTCAGGCTGAGAAAAACCATGACACCACCTCTGTCCTGCTCAGGACTCTCCTCGCCTTTTCTTAGGGACCAGAGCTATACCTGAGGATGCAGATCAGGCCCTCTAAGGGAGAGAGGGGGACACCATTGACCCTAGAGGACCAACCAGCTCTCCAGGAGTCGCCTTGTTCTCCTGAATGCACAGTAAGCTGGGAGAAGGTTCGCTGTGAGAGCTCAGCCCCAGCGAGGAAGGCCTGGGGTGTGGGATGTCTATAACTCTATAACCTGGGGAAGGGGAGTTAGGGGTGGGGGGCATCTCAGGCCTGCAGTTGGGAGTTGGGAGAACACAGGAAGCTCAGGCTGTGTGCTCCGACTGGTTGAGCATATTTCTGCACTAAATATAATTGTCTCCAGGGTGGTCTTGGGGGAAGGGCTAGCAGCAGGACCCTGAGCCCTGCCATTCCTTGTCCAGCCTTTCTTCCTCTAGTCTTTCCTTCCACCCCCCCTCCCACCCCTTCCATGACCTTGAAACTGACAGCAACTGACAGATCTCATGACCCAAGGGCTGGGCAAGGAGTTTCCAGGCTGGTGAGGAGCTCTTGGTTGGCTCAGGGGCCTACATTTCCTTAGGGAGGCAGAGAGGGTATAGGAGAGGGATACTTTAAGGCAAATCCTGAGCCCTGCTTTGAGGACAAGGGGTCTCCTTCTACCTGCCTTTGCCCAGTGACCTCACCAGAGGGACCTGCTACATGTACTCCCCACTTCCCATTCACCACCAAGTCCTGCTAGCTTTACTTCCAAACTGTAACCCACCTCTGACTGCTCCTCNAGGGGTCTCCTTCTACCTGCCTTTGCCCAGTGACCTCACCAGAGGGACCTGCTACATGTACCCCCCACTTCCCATTCACCACCAAGTCCTGCTAGCTTTACCTCCAAACTGTAACCCACCTCTGACTGCTCCTCCCATCCATGCTTGCTGCTGCCACCCTTCTCAGAGCCACTGTTAGTTCTCCTGGACTCTGGGACTGCTCCCAACAGGCTCTTGGGCCCCCCCCCCCCCCACACACAGAGCCGCGAGGCAAACTCTACAAATTCATGCCAGGACCCGCATCTTTCCCGATGGAGT